TAGCGTTACCCGCTCTTACTCCTCACAGGCCTCCAAAGCACTTGGATTCGGCTCCAGATCCCGTTGACATGTACACACAAACCTGGAAATAAGGATAAGCCATTTGTACTGACCGTCAGAATCTCCACTCATGTTGAAATCCATCATTGCGTGGCTAAACTTCCCGTCTTCACTCTGTTTCACTGCCAGTTGCTGAGTCAGGGTCTCCAGTGTTGTTTTGTCCTGTATGGGCAAGATGACGGGATTTGGATCAGGAAAATAACTAAACATTGTAACTGCAAAGTTCTTAAGTAATTTAGAAGGTTGATAGGAAATCTGGATAATAATTTATTCACAACAGCTTACTGAACCAGGTATTTAAGAATACATAATATTTTTTCTGGAAGGGATATGGTTGCAGACTCTAGCAAGTCCTTTTTAAAACATGCTTATTAGCTAATGATGAGCAAACATCATGGTGTTGAAAAGATTGGTTTAGTTAGGCACGATAAAATTGGCTGCATATCTGAAGCATACTTCAACTCTATGTCCCTGGGACTGCAAAGCTGGACTGGAAATTTAGATGATACATGCTCTTTTGCAATGTATTTATTGTTTTACTCTATTTCCACCCTGCAATCAAAGTGCGGAGACATGGGTGACTTTGCCCTTTTTCTTTTTTAAAAGGTAGTATTTTAGGAAGCAGCCCATACTGAAAAAAAACCAACCTGTGGTTCAAACTTACCCAGGCCTTGGGAAAGGGTCAACCTGAATTAAGCATGATACTTGGGCAGCAGTTTGTGTTCTTGTCCAGACTGTTTTACCCAACCCTACTAACACCCCGTCTGTCATTCTTCTAGTCAGAACTATCTGTGAACCCTGGATTGCAACAGGCGAGTGCATGCTGCCAATTAATGTCAGGCTGCAGCGGTGTCTAAAGACATTGCCAGAACAACACGCCAGGGCCATTAATTCTAATGTTCTCTTCAAAACACCTCACTACTTAATGAATTGTTTGACTTTGCAAATACGAAGGTGTTTCATTTCCCAACTATTTTTGTTTTTCCCAATGAATTTTACTTATAAACATTCTATCTTCCTGACAATCATATGTTTAAAAATAAATCTTTCAGGAAAGCAATACTAACATTTCAAAACGTTAGGCGCTGTGCCTTCTGCAAAGCTAAGAAAATGACATGACACGGAATGATAATAAAGTGGCTCCAGTCGAAAAATTCTTCTGAGCTTCTTCCTGAAAGAAAGATTGCTGTTTTGTTGCTCTGTTCCACTCCTGATGACTGTAGATGATCAACAAACTAAAAAAACTTTCAGACTTCGCATGGCAACTGGAGAATTTACAACTAGTCTATGTAGCCTAATAATGTCACTGGGTTGTACTATAGAAAACAGAAAAGAGAACAATACGAATACAGAAACGCTTCCTGCAATGTGATGTCCCTGCATCTGCAATTCAAAGAACAATTCAAATTCACATAAGCCATTTCACAAAGATTTTCTTGAGAGAGTCAAAAACAAGGCTAATCTGCTCAACTTCATCCACTCACACAATTTATGGAACACGAGGTTAACTCTCCTTCTCTCAACATTCATTTTCTTTGTAGAATCCTTTTGCATGCCTGGTGCTCTGTCTCTGAGCAGACACACCACCACTGAAACCGTGTAAGGTGAGTTATCCTCTCGGTGTCTGCAGGAAAAGCTCCTGCAGCACCGTCAACCTATCACAATCAAAAGGGTTTCCGTAACACTTCCAGGCACAGCAGATCCAGAAAGCTTGGAGGAGCTTCGAATAAGCACCTGAACTATTCAGGCATTTAGCTTTACCAAACTCTTTGATCTACCGGTTTTAACTCGGCTCTCATTTCCAAAGCAGTCCGTCAGCAGACAGAAAGTCAGGAATAAGTTGAATTTGTATTTCTTCCAAACAGATCTCAGCTATATAATACAAGTCAACAGTTTTTCCTCAAAAAAAAAATCTATTTACTGTCAATTTCATAATGATAACAGTTCAGAAATTTTTCTGTCAGAAATCATATAAAAATGCTGCCATTAACCTAAAATCTAAAAGAACATCTCCTCTGGTTGGGTATACTATGGGGGAGGGGAGTCATTCTGTTGCAGACTTTTCTTGAATCATGTATAAACCTCTTAGAAAAACAGAGCTGAAAGCGCAAAGGGCATAGGCTTAACAGCTTTTTCTTTATGCAGTAAACGCAGCTGTTGAAGTTGGAGGCAGTTACATTCAGAACCACACTCTGCCAACATGATCTGATTGAGTCTTAAGGTCAGTGAATACTCCCACATGCTGTCTGCAATGTACACCCCGGGTACAGCTCGTTTATCAGAGTTTGACTTAACAAGCCTACAGATGCTCTGCTGCTATTCATCTTGGGCAAAGTTTTGGATTTTGAGGTACAGCCACATTAGATGAAGTGAGAGGGTGCAGGCATGATCAAAGAGGGGCTGCAGAGGAATGCCAGATGAGTGCTGAGCTCCTGGGCTGCACTGCTGAGCCCTAGTGCTTGGATGTGGCCCTGCGGACAGTGGAAATGGGGGTGAGCATGGAGACCATCCTTTCAGCATAGTGACAATACGCTCCATGCTACTGAAACATCGAGAGTGACAATATAATTCCATCAACAATGATAAGGTGGCAGTTAAAAAGCATTTCTGCACAACATTGGTCTTGAAACAGATGTTGAAACAGCCAGCTGTACTTTTCTGTGTTAATATTTAGCAATGTTTAAGTTTAAAAAGCACTCAGGCAGGAGTAAGTCTAAGACCTGCTCTTTCCTAAGCCTCTGCAACAGCATTAGGAGAGCAGAAAGAGATCAGGAACACTCTGGCAGGATAAAAAAAGCCTGACTATATGTAAGTAGCGATCTGATCTCCTGTCTTATGCTCTTCCCATTGAACACATGGCAGCTGATTTTTCCCAATCCTGATGTACAGAAATATTTTCACAATTACAAAATATTCAAAAGGGGCTAAGCAGGCTTCCCATGTTGCTTTGCTTGAAAGGATTCAGTTGATGACTTACTGCTTTTCATTTGATGGAATCATCTCTCTACCTTTCCTAGTCTGTCTTCTAGGGAGAAAGTATTTATGGAAGCTCCAAAGAAACAAAGAAAAAAAAAATCTTTTCTTTCTTTACCCCAAATAAACTGGCAACCTGCTCACATTGCTAGCTCAGCCTCCTCTCACAGAACAGAAAGAACTTCAGACAAGAGATCCACAAGTTTATACAAAAGGAGGATCTATTTATCTTCATTATCTTAATTCAAGAGCAAATTACACATCCTTAAAACTGCCACCACTCTGCCGTCTCAGATTAGCTGTGTAAACAGTAGCAAGCTGTGGTACCATCCAGTGATAAGAGGTGGATGTTCAGCAGCACACTTTAATAAAGTAGTTGTCATACAGCACTACAATTCAGGAGGCAGTGTCAAATTCCTGCACACTACGCTGGACTATGTCTAGTTATTTTATCATTATATCCAGCTCCACATCCAATTGTCTTGCTGGGCAGAGAAAGAAATGGGGAAGAGAGTTCAGCTGACGAAATTATACATGCTTTCAAGTTTTTAAAGCTACAAGAAAATAACTGGAGTGGTAATCTCTTTGTGTCAGATTTTCCCCACACCCCAAAGGTATAAAATGGTATTCATTCTTGAAGCAATGCACGAGTGGCATCAATGGGGAAGAACTTCCAGCAACTGCTGGGAAGAACAGGCAAGGCTGGTCCAGACCCAGGAAAGTACTGCAAAGTCTTGCTTGTGAGATCTGCTAAAAAATAGACAGCACAAAGCAGGGAAAATAAACAGTAAGGAACACTTCTGCCCTTGCAGGAGCAGAAACACAGGGATCTCTTGTTGCAGATGAAGTTATTAATTTTCTTCTAAATTTCTGAATTTTGGATCAGGCCACAGAAGGCTTATAGATGTCTTATAAACATCTTTTTCCTCTGTGAAGAACTTCAACAGAGGTTGGGAAGAACTATCCTAATGGTCATTTCTATTGGATTGTAGAAGAGACTCTCCATAGGGGCAGTAAGAGCTCTGTTGTCTTTTAAAAATTGTAATGGGCGAACCAGAGAAGATAATACTGTAGAGACCATTCAATCTTGCAATAGCCCAATTGTTCAAAGCATAACCAGAGAGGTTTCAATAGCCACAATGTGATGAGAAGTTTCTAAAATGTTATTAATCAAAGAAAGAAATCTGCTGAAGATGACTGATTTGTACCACAGCTCCTATGATTCAATTATATTTAAAAGAACAATGAAAAATACATACACACAGGGAATGTGCCATGGAGAAAAAAAATATATAAAAAATGACTAAGCACCGCAAGTCAGACTCAGTTTTGTGGTCAGCTGCAAAAGTTACTTGGCTCTCTGTCATGGATAGCTGTCATAGTTTAACAAAACATTGATCTAAAAATGACAAGAACTTGGTTGCAGTCTCTTTCATAGAAGAAACATAAAACAAGAAGAGTCAAAACATATGTAGAACAGCCTGATAATGTTTGCCAGAACTCCTCCCTCTGCTACACAAATGTGAAGAAATACATATTTGAGAAATAAAGACATTCAGATACATTTGCCTACTTCCCTCTGACCCCGCTGCTCCTATCTTGTGCTGGATCACTGGTACCAATGCACAGGGGGCACCTGAGACCAGGCACATGCCTTCGCTCCTGAAGGACTCCACAGTTTTTCCAGAATACTGTGAATACTGGGCATATGACAACAGATCCCTCCTCCTCCTCTTTGAGACATCCTTTTGGCTGGGGTATTTGGCAAACACTGACAGTGCTCTGAACTCTGCTAGATCTGTATTTTGGCAAGAGCTGTTTTTCCGATTGCATAATTCAAGGTTAGCAGTTTCAATGAAGCAGTCCACTCTTCACTTCCCTACTCACCTACCCCTACCCCTACCCCCATTTCCCCTGAGAGGAGCATTTTGCCTCCCAGTTTGATGCCTGCAGAGATACAGCCAGTGAAGAACACCAGAAGAGAAGTGTTCAGGCACTTCTTATTCCAAGTGAACTGAAAGGCCAGGTGAAAAAACTGCATTTGTAGAGTAGCTGGAGTGAGCCAACCAGGCTTACCTATGGACTGCAAGGAGAAACTTGCTCATCAGTTCACCTGAGAATTACAAATACACCAATGGACAGAGTGTCTGCTACCTTGGTTCCCTTCAGTGTCAATACATAAAAAGAAA